TAAGAATTATTTATTGATTGACATTGACAATGCTAATAACATAATATTTAATAGAATTTAATAGCGTTTCAACGTGAGATATTTCAAAAGTCTTCTTATTAGCATCACAGTAATACTATCACAATTTCAATCTTAGATCATTAATATTTGAAGAATTTTTATATTAAATATTTGAATAACAAATCTTAGCAAGAACATGACAATGACAATAGATTTTTAATTACATTTTTTCTTAGAAATTTGCGTAATATTACTCAACATATGAAATTACTTATCTCTTTTAACCTTCGTGGATTTAATTATCCACGATGTGAAAGGTAAATAAGCAATGAAGCTACGTGACTTTCCCCATTCATAGCATATGAGCGAGAAAGAAATATAAACAAATCATTGTTAGTGTTAGAGAAAAGTTTTACGCGCGTACAAAGTAAAATGAATGATTCATCAGTTGTCTCATTCCAACTTATGAGAATGTTAGTACACATTGCAATTCCCACGTACGCATGGTATAAAAATTTGTTTTATTTATTTTTGTTCCATTCAACTTCATTTATCATGTTTCAATTATATGTCATATGGACTAAAAGAAGTGTTATAGTAAGAACGTTTTTGAAAGTCTAATTTGAATGTAGAACCTTGATATTCATTGAACTTTGCGAAATGAGAATGGCAAACAGCGATGACGACTTTTCGGTTTTTATTTCTCAAGAACTAAACTTTTATGACTGAATTATCACATTTTATTAATCTTGTTCTGATGTTTCGTTTTAGATAATTTACGTTTTTTAAATCTTCGCACAATCATTTCGGAACCACTCAAAGTCAGTTTTTTTAATTAATTTTTTTATCTTACCTTCGTTCTCTCACGTATTTTATAATGTCCCAGTTTTCCGTTGTTCACCATTCGATTGGCTAATGTTATCACAGCATCGACCTATAAATGACATTAATTAACATTTATCCACGAAGATTTTGCTTGTCGTTTTGTCGTTGTTGCTTACTTGATTCATTAGAAATCTGATATTCGAAACTCCTTTTTCTTTTCCATCAACCCACGCAATTTTATCACCGCGAATATTTCTATTGTTTGTTTTATCTTTACTTGCAACTAATTGACCATCCTTAAAGAAGATAACCAATGTATAATAATTAAGAAAACTAAACGTTTTGAAAGCTTACTTTGAAATATCCAGCTGAGTACATATTTTTCACTTCATCAAGCACTTCAATTCCTTTTTGTCGTCCAAGAAAATTATCCAATACACAAACGCCGTATTCATTCATATCTTTTACAAGATTGTTGCACATCTCTTCAAGACCATATTCTTCATCGATGGTTCTAAAATCATGTCAGAAAAGAATTTTTAATTCACATTCTTAATTTCTTTGTTGTCAAACTCACTTGTAAAGCATATGATCGTCGAGTTGCGCATGATTGATATATTTCGGATTGTTGCTGGTTTTCAGCATGATGTCACTTTGATTGTTAACTTCTTCTTCACTCAACTGTTGCTGTGGTTCGTGTAAATTAATTTCGCGGAACAGAGAAAGTTCTTTCTCTAAATTTTCTCTTGTTTCTTTCAACAATTGACGTTCTTCTGGTGAATACTCACAACTTTCTTGCCTCTGAATTTTGTCTATGATTTTCTCGTCAAATATTTTCTCATCAGTTTCATTAAAAGACTCGTATTCCCTTAATGTTTGCTCATCTAGTGATGTACCTTCGTTGTCTAACGTGAAATTGGTTAGCAGCTCATCTGCACGTAGCGTCAAATTTTTTAAAATCTCTTTTTCAGTACTTTCGTCTAAGACGATCTCAAATGAATTGAATACATTTTCATCGAAATCTTGACTTGTCGACGACGTTGTCGCATTAGTGTTGGTAGAAATAGGTTTCGGTTGTTGATATTGGAGTAAAGTTGGGTCATATTGTCGTCCCTCTCTTACATATGTATTAGGATGTACATCTGATTCCATAATTTCTTGTTTTTGCATTAAACTTTTCACGTTACTTAGACTATTGTTGAATTTGGTTGAGCTCGGATGTTCAACAACATTGTAGCAGTCAGATTTGTGATTCTTCCAATCAATCTTCTGGCAGTTCCGAGAACAATAATACGCTTTTTGACATTTACAGACTTTGATCCCTGTGGCGTTCCCGCAAATTTTACATAAGTATGGCTTGTGGATTTTGTTTACTAACATTGTACGAGTGATTTGTTTTATATTAACTAATAAAGCTCTAATACCGAAAAGATAGAAAATATTGATAAGATAGAAAAGTCAGCTGTCAGTACCAAAAATGATTTGACTTACTGTAACCTTGACGAACTATATGAACTCACATAAAGTCAATAGAAATAATTTCTTAATATTTTTGCACTTTCTTTTGTTATTGATATTTTATTTTATACTTCTTGCGCCAAACCGGACGTTATCAGATGTTATTAAAGACAAATTTCAAGTTTCTGCGCTATTTATTAACTTAAATATAGAAAATTAAAAGAACTACTTTTGTTCACATTGTTTCTTTTCGTAATGAACAAAAAACAAGTCAGAACCTTTCAATTTCGTCACGAGTCCAAAACATTAGTAAGGTTTTCATGTTTATATAAGCTTCTGAATATGATTTGCTGAATATGCTTTTTAAATCCATTTGGCCGTTAAATATTTATGCTCATATTGATAAAGGCATAAAAACAAACATTGAAGACCAATTAATAAAATAAAAACTAAAATCGAAGTTGAGATTTTAAACAAGAGAAATTGTGAATTATATTTCAAAGAAATTCTTTTCCAGTTTAAGTCAAGTATTCTAAAGTTAATTCATTTTTGGTTTATTCCGTTCTAACTCCTCGTTATCCTGTTCCGATTCATCTTCTTCTGAGGAAGAGGACGTAGAAGATTCTTCAGCAGTATTTTGCACTGGATTTTGTGCAAAATTTTTATCCTGATTATTTTCATCTTTGCTACTCCATTTAGGAATATAAATTAAATAAATATACTGGAATACTGCATACACAAAAAAAGAATAAGTGTAGAAAACATATAATTTGTAGTTTTTAGGAGTATAATCGATGAGATGAACATGAAGAAAAATTAAAACTGCGCAAAACAAAAAGCTTTGTGGCCGATTCAGTTTTCTATTTGAGTCACCCATTGGAGAAGCAAACATAAAGCCAATGATCTGAGCAATGTTTCTCATAGTTGAGAACATTACAGTTGTTTCTGGTTTAGGATATAATGGACTACCACAATATTTAAATGCCTGAAAGTTTTATGCTTTAGTAAAATGTTGAAAATTAATTTTTGAATGATAACTCACCATATGAACTGATTCCATTGGATTCCCAGAAAAATACTTGATAAGCCAGAAGATTGAAGTTACAGTAAGAGTCAGAAAGCAACCAACTTTAAGCCATTGAATTTTTCCATATGTTTCAATGTTATCAACGAATCTAGTAAAACTGACTGCCTCTGACACGCACATCCCAAGTAATGCTCCAAACAAACATTGATGAAAGAAATGTGCTGCAATGTACATTCTTGATATTCCCATGATGACTAAAATCAAAGCAAAGACGAGTCGTGCCAAATATCTCAAAGGTCTACGCAACTTCAAGTAATTATGAACAATATATTTTTCAATAGCAATTAAAGAGATGAATAAATAACTTGATATCATCATCATGTGGCCACTTGGACTGCCTGGAGAAGTCTCACAAGTTGCTTCGGTTTGATAAAGAGTTGGTCGGGTTAACGAAGTGTAAACTTCTGTTTCGTGAACCCACCAAAAAGGTCGAGCTTCGTTGATAATCCTTCAAATAAATATTAAATTTATATGATGTTCATGAGAAACCAAAACACATAAATTACCATTTTAGCATCATGTTCATGAAATCACTAATAATACAAGAAATCAATGCTTTGTGATACAATCGTGTATTTATCGCTGCCATACATGGCAAAAGGAATAAATAAATATAAGTAGGGCCTAAGAAATGTGAAAAACCTTCCAAAACTTCTTCGAACTTTGAAAATCTGTGAAAAAAAAATGTAAATTCGGAATTTTTCAATTTAATCAATTATACTTCATACTTATTTTGAACGCTGATGATCAAATCAATTTCCCACATACGTAAATTAGTGAACCAGTCCATTTTGTGCTTTTTAAGTGTTTTAAGTTATAATAAACTGAATTTTTACATGAAAAAAGATGTAAACAAATTTTTGTTGTTGCTTTACAGCTGACTAAACAATAAGAATAATAATAATGAGATACGAGATTAGGTAAATTAAAATAAAATTGAGTTAGTAATTTAAACGAGACCGCTGCGTGCATGGATGCTATATAGCTTCATCTCTTATTAAACTCATTCCAGGTGTAAATGATTTAAGATACGAAGGGTTTCAAAATTTCATGATTATTGAAGCTGTTGAATGGTTTTGTAATCCTAGATATAGAAGCTGTTGAACTGTGTCTAGAATTTGCGTCTACGTTACGTACATTTACGTTTTTTCCTTTTTAAAGTTAATTGAATTATCCTTATTACTATATGGTTGGGATCATGTATAAAACAATGATTTACAGAAAATTTTCCATTTCTATCTGTCAGGCTAGACATTGATTTACTTGATTGAAATCTTTAATCGAGATAATGTACAGTGGAAACTTTTCTTTGAGAACGATGTATGCACATGACCTCATAGTCACTTTTTGGATTGCGTTGGATTCTCGAAAAGAAATTGCATTCAAAGTTTAGAAATTTTCATATAAAAATATCGAATTAAAACCATCATTTATTATTTATTTTCAAATTAATTAAAATATACTCTTTTTATTAAAATTACAAAGAATTTATTAATCTTTCAATCTTTTGTTACAGTTTTTCTATTTGCCTACATAACATATT